CACAATGCGCATCCGAATATCGACGAGTCAAGCTCTTTTTTTATTGCTTAGATGGGTGGACGAGCTCACAGTCCACCTGGTGTAAGTGGTTACTGGAGCCCATAGACATCTGCAATGTAAATGTCACCACCCACCTTGAGACATGAGTTCGAAGGTCTCAGTATTCATGCATTCGTATCTAGCGATGCAGCGGCGTTCGAATCCCGCCGGCGGATTCCAATTTTTAATGGTGGTAGGACCTCTTGTGAGTCCGCGCGGGTAGGACCACCCTGCCTATTTCAGCCGTGAAGCAGTAATGCGCTTCGGTTTGAAGGGTGGGGCAGCCGTTGTACTGTTACAAGTGAGACCTTAGAACTCGTATTTCAAGATGGATGGCAGCATTTACGTTGCAGATGTCTATGGGCTCTGGTAACCACTTAACTACAGGTGGATTATGAGCTCGTCTACCAATCTGCGCAATAAATTTAAAAAAAATTGGGTCATACAATCGCGTTCTGCGAGAGTTCTCATACAACGCGATTCCTATAACGCGGCATCAATCTGCCGTGTTATAGAGCGGATTACAGTATTATGATAATTATTTTAACGTGTAAGGCGTTGTACTGTCTATTTATATATATTTAAAATGTTTATTATTTTTCTACTTTCTGACTACACCACCTTCTGTTGACTGGTTTAAAATACCTCAAGCACTGCGGTAGGCAGCGGCTTGGCTCTGCCCCTGGAATTGCTGAAGTCCATGGGCGATGGTAAACACTCACCATCAGGTGGGCCGTATGCTCGTCTGCCTACAAGGGCAATAAATAAAATAAAAGCACTAAGTATACCAAATAAAAACTGGTTGATTTATAGCTTTAGATAGACATGCGCACGTTTCGCCTGGCATTAACAGATCTTGAAAGGTTCGCGGCAGATACAGCCACGAGTTCTGGGTCTAACGCGCGGACTTGCTCCAGAAATTAACACGGACGGGTTCGTTTGAGGATATCCCAAATTTTTTTAGCGCATAAGCCTTCGCTTCACTTTTATCGTACTGAACACAATGTCTCTAATAAAACTGGTGAATAATAAAAAAAAGTAAAGTACCGTCAATCTAAAAAAATATATTTAATAAGCGCCCATTTTCTCTCTCTCTCTCTCTCTCTCTCACGCACACACTCAAAACAACAACAAAAAAAAAAACTATTTTTATTAATAATCAAATTATCATAACGAATACAAAATCGTATAGAATAATTAACATTTCTCATTGTGAGGGGAATTCTCGTGGAAATTCACAAGAGTTCCGTACAAGGTAATAAATTATAAAAAAAACAAAATTAATACAAACATGATTATAATAACATTAAGATAACGAGATTACAGCGCGCATACATTCTCTATAAGCGCGTTAAGTATTACGTTATTTTGGCATTTGTGCTCCTCCTGCTCACGGCCTATTCGACGGTAAAGGTCACGGACTCATTACTAGCGTGATACTATCGAGCAGATTCTTCAAACGAGGCTTGTGAAGTACTTAACGGTAGGCAGGCGCTTGGCTTTGCCCCTGTCATCGCTGAAGTCCATGGGCGACGGTAACCACTCACCATCAGGTGAGCTGTATGCTCGTCTACCTACAAGGGCAATAAAAAAAAGTTGCTTCTGCAGCTGCTACCAGAGCGTTATCACATGTCCTTCTTCAAACGAGGCTTGTGGAGAGTACTTCATGGTAGGGGGCTATTTGGCTCTGCCCTTGGCATTGCTGGTGTCAATGGGCGACGGTAACCACTCACCATCAGGTGGGACGTATGCTCGTTTGCCTACGAGAAAGTACACGAACGAACGAAGAAGACTTCAAGAAGACGCCGTCAAAATATGATGGGCTAATGCTACCTGCAGCGCTTTTGGGAGGAGGCCTGAAAAGACGCAGCTTAAAGCACTCTAAACAAAAGCAATGTCAGTTTGAAGAGCATGCTCGGTGCTCACATGCGTATAGCCTTTTATGAGCATGTGTAAATGATCTTAAATGGTAACCACCTCGAGACAATTTTTTTTTTACTGCTTAGAGTGGTGGTCCAGCTCACAGCCCACCTGGCGTTGAGTGGTTACTGGAGCCCATAGACATCTGCAACGTAAATGCGCCACCCACCTTGAGATATAAGTTCTAAGGTCTCAGTATAGTTACAACGGCTGCCCCACCTTTCAAGCCGAAACGCATTACTGCTTCACGGCAGAAATAAGCAGGGTAGTGGTATCTACACGTGCGGACTCACAAGAGGTATAGTGTACCAGTAATATAATAAAAAAAATTCATAAGCCCCAGTTAAAATCCCTTAATCGATGTTAAATATGTCCCCTCTCTTATTAAGGAGTATATGCGTGTCATAGTCGAAACGTGTAGACCCAAACACACCTTTACCTGAGGCCGATTGAAGACGACCTCAAAAAAAACGCCAGCTTTTAACACAGCAGCGAGATTACATCGAATCCACATTACGCAAAATCATAAAACGAAAAATATTATTGTTAGTTGTATGATTAAAAATTCGACCTCAAAGCGGGACCTCAATCGCATTGTCACGTCAATAGGATCCGACAATCATAAAATCAATGTTAATTAAATTTTTAATTTAAAAGAAAAGCTTTTGTATGCGACTGTATCCGAATATTATTTTATTCCAACATGGCCGACGTTCTGAAATAGTAATATCATTTCGAAATATAATAAAAGGAGCTTTTAAAGTCCCATAAGCCGAGAAATCTTGCGAGATTCCAACGGTTATTCGCATTATGTGTACAAATTAGAGTCTAAAATAATCAAGTCCTAAATACTAGCTAATATTCAATGGTAACAGATAAGTAGTACCATAAAAAAAAATGAGGTACAGTCATTTATAACACGGTAGATACGTTCCTACAACATTGTGTTGTGCGAACCCGCGTTATATGAGACTAGAGAAACCATTAGAAAAAGGAAAGTATTTTTTCTGAATGAAATATCTCAACTATGTATGTATGTATGTTAGTATGTACGTTTGTAACGGAATCTTTGAACATGATTTTGACCCCCTTCAAAACGTCAGATTAACTCGAAATTTGGTATACTTATTAAGGACCGTTGACAAATCAATATTTTAAAAAAATTGAAATTCAATTAAAAAATGAAAAATAAATAATAGTTTTTTTTACATTAGCGCGCTTTTTTACAAAAAATCAATTTTTTTTACACTTTTTCTGCTTCTCTCAGGGCGGTCGCAGCAGAGAGTCCAGTAAGCGCAGTCACCTGATCTACTCTATTACTGGTGGTAGAACCTCTTGTGAGTCCGCGCGGGTAGGTACCACCACCCTGCCTATTTCTGCCGTGAAGCAGTAGGTAATGCGTTTCGGTTTGAAGGGCGGGGCAGCCGTTGTAACTATTCTGAGAGACCTTAGAACTTATATCTCAAGGTCGGTGGCGCATTTACGTTTACGTCGATGGCCTCCAGTAACCACTTAACACCAGGTGGGCTGTGAGCTCGTCCACCCAGCTAAGCAATAAAAAAAATCTGACCGCAGTTTGGCGGCCGGCCGGCGGGTCTTTTCCCTTCTACCTTGCTCACCACAACCAATTTTTCACGGTCGTCTGGTGACCGCCGAGAAATGTGACCAAAGAAACCAAGAACCTTGTGGTAACAAATTGTAGACAGTAAAATTTACTGCATTTCATTTACTTCACATATATTGTGTGTTCATAGTGCATTATGTGATTATCTAAATAATTTTAAACAAAAATCTCGTTATCGTGTTGTACGTGTACCGTGTTATGAGACGGGTTTTGGGAATAAAATATTTATTAAACGCGTTGTAGATTACCGTGTTATATAGGAAGATTACCTGAAGCTAATAAGGTTTTTTTTAATGTCACAAATGATTTCTCCGATTCCACTCGGGTTCTATATATTTTATATAAGAACTAAAAGTATTTAAAAAAAAAACATTTTTTTTTGGTACACCTGGAAATCTCCAAACCAGTTTAACTATCGTTAGTTGGAGGAGATTTCGTTTGATCATGAGCTGTACTTTCTTAATTTTTAGGTTATTATTATCGTATCAATAAATAAAATCTGATATTTCAATAGCGACCTCTAAGAGGCCGAGTGGCAACCCAGGACAGGTAGAAGGCTCGGCTGGCAGTAAGGCATGCAAACGCCTCACGCGACGCGGAGCCTTCACCGCGAGTATTCAAACACCAAAACAACGTAACAACTTCTTTTCGAAAACAATTATTTATTTAGCTAATTAAATTTTATTAGTTAATCAATAATTAATTTGAATTAATAAATAAATTACCTTTATTCATCAACAAACAATTAACAATTTGCGTATTTAAATATATAGATATATGTATAATATTATTTATATAATGTGTATTATTTTATAAAAGCTTTTTTTTTAATAATATTATTAATATTAATTTATTTATTTACAAAATGACTAAAATTGATAGGAATTTCAAATGTAAATAATATAATTGCAGTGTCACTGTGTGTTCATTTACAATCATTGACGGGATAAGGCTTCATATTTTTTGTGTGTAATGCTCTAAAACGAAAAAAAAAAAAATACTTTTGCGGTCAAACTTTAAGACAAGCGAGAAGGACACTTGACGGTTCAGATCAGTCGCCCGCGGACAACAACAGCGCACGTTGATATTCGGGCTTATAAATTACAAGAGTGAACGCGGAGAGCGAGCAATGGAGTGCTAATTTCATTCCCAACTAAAAACGCAATGTAAATGGGCAATGCAAATAAAAAAATAAAATCACTAATCTTACTATTACCTTGGTTAAATGTAAATGAATATTATTTTCGTCTGAAGCACAACGGGACCGTACATTGAATTCTTGTTTATAATTACTAAGTCATGACCGTCAGATAGAAAATGTAAGTTATACTAAAGGATTATTTTAGGCGAGTTACTCTTCGAATTTATAAGCCCCGTCAAAAGCGCTACTGAGCTTCCAAACGAAACTACCAGCTAACATGAGCTCTACGAAAACGGGGTCGCGGATTCGAGTTTTATTAAAAAAAATTTGATTGTAGCGTTCGAAATAAAAAAAATGTGTCTCCAAAAGGAGGACTAAAAGAATTTTCCGTTCAACATTGTCGTCCGTACTCTGGTTGCGTCGGAACTTGAACCCGCGACCCCCGACGCCATCGCATGATCGAACGCCACACCCACCACTATTTACCCGACATTCTACTGGACGATTCATTTTCAACAACAAAATAATTTATTCGTTTTATAAAAACAAAACTCCACTCACAAAAAAGTACCGTCAGCAAAACAAAAGAGTATAAAAAAAAACATTTATCAAGTGTCACGACCCCCTTGCCCGTCGTCCAGCGTGACGCGTGTCACTGTCAACTGTCACTGGCGCGCGGAGCCAGCGAGCGGGCGGGCTTTGAGCTTTCGCTACGTACGTGAAAGCTCATAGAAGAGCACGTAGGCCTCCGACGAAACCACGTTGGACGGGTTGATGGGCGTTACCCTGCGAACAAATATATATATTCATTACATTTTTTATTTATTGCTTAGATGGGTGGCCAATCTGGTGTTAAGTGATTACCAGAGCCCATGGATATCTACAACGTAAATGCGCCACTCATCTTGAGATATAAGTTCTAAGGTCTCAAGTATAGTTACAACGGCTGCCCCACCCTTTAAACCGAAACGCATTACTGCTTCTCGACAGAAATAGGCAGGGCGGTGGTAGCGCGGACTCACAAGAGGTCCTACTATCAGGCGGCGGTTAATTAGCCGGACCCAAATAAGGCTTCAGCGGTCTCGAAGAACTAAATCTCTACCAGAAGCACTGACGTGGTAGGACCGCGGGAGTCCACCGTTTGTATTTTCCCAAAAAGGCCTCATGACGCCACGACCCTCAGCATTGAGGATTATTGAGGAAGAGGAATACCTGAAGCCTGTTCGTTATTGACTTGCCTCCATCGGCTCTGCGTCTGCCCCCACAGACAATTGCTCAAGAATAGTCACTAAATCACTTCATTAAGACCCAATAAGTTCACCAGAACAAAAAAAAACCTTGTAAAGGCATATGTTTAGCCCTCATACTGACACGAGTAGGGATTGCGGTACACGTACATTTCGACTTATAATTCGCCTCACAAACCAGCGATTGTCGGTTCAGTGTTCGGGGGGCCGGTTCCCCTCGCGGCCCCCCACGGGTGGGGACGGGGGGGGCGCTTTAGGCCCCAGACATACGCACCTAGAGTCATTGTACTCGTGCCAGTCGCCGGTGTGCGGGTGCTTGCAGTACGCCGTGTAGTGGCCGGAGTACGTTGTACCTGAAGAATACAATTACCATATATATTAGCCACCGATGGACAGCGTCAGCGAAGGGGGGGTGCGGTGTGGTGAAAGTTGAGGGGGGATCGCACTGTCTCTTGGCGCAGGGCCTCAAAACAACTTCGGTATAGGGATGGAAAATGTAATGGAAGCTCATAGGAGGCACTAGTGATAAGGAATGAGCGTCTCCCTACGGAGTTTCCCGAGCGCCATAACATAACCTACTTCAAACGAGACTTGTGGAGAGGATTCACTGGTAGGCAGCGGCTTGGCTCCGCCCCTGGCATTGCTGACGTCCATGGGCGACGGTAACCACTCACCATCAGATGGGCCTTATGCTCGTCTGCCTACTAAGTGCCTGCAGCAGTGATAGCACGAGTTCGTTTGATACAGATTAGCTATGAGTATATTATTTAACAGTTTAATTTGTAGCGTTGGGAGAGCAATATATAAACTATGTATTCGATACGAGATGTCGCATCACTCGTCTTGAGAGATGTGGAGTCGCAATTACATGACGTCATGGTAGGGCGGCGATACTCACCGGTGCTCATGTATGTATCGCCAAGTTCAAAGGTCAGGTTTCAAATTTAACATGAGTCCAACGATTTCCAATACTATATCAATTTTCTTTCGTAAGCGCTTCAGATTCTGAGCTTTATGTCTGCTTAAATGAACTGATAGGTGCGTTACAGTGATTGTCCGGAGTGGGAATCCAGCCCGCGACCCTGGGGCAGTGGGGACACTGGGGGGTCGCGGCGGGGGCGGGCGGGGGGGTCCGTACCGGAGTGGTTGCTGACGGCGTACAGGTTGTAGACGGGCGCGCCGGCCCGCGCGGCGGCGTAGGGCGACATGTCGAGGCCGCTCAGGGGGAACTCCACCACCACGCTCAGCTTGCCGCGGAACCGCTCCGTCGGGGAGAACCTGGGGACCGGGGGGGTCAGCATCATCGACCGGCATGTTACACCGCGATACAATCACACATACCCATTTAAAGGATAGGATATCCTCATTATTATACTAATTTCGTCTTATCGCATTAAAGTGTACAATTTCCAAAAATATTCGAAATTGAGTTAATATGCGGAATCATTTGGTGTCACCAGTATTTTTCTCATATATACTGTCAAAAGAGCGTAGTTTAGTTTTAGTTTTTTTTTTAGTTTACCTATATTTTGACTACTACATATTAACAAAATTAATACATAATTTTATCTTACTTTAAAATACAGATAATGTAATTGGTAAAAACTAAAAAATAAATGTTGCAAAGATGATTAATATTAAAAACATAATAATAATATGTTAAACCTTTAATAATACATGTGTAAAATAATACATTTTACACGCGGGAGGAAATGTCCTACTTTTCTCCCTTGGGGCACATACTATCTTTTCTCCTACCAGGCCGAAAGTTCGTGGAGCACCGAGCCGGGGTCCAGGGGCGAAGCCCTGGCAGGGGGTATACAAAAATTAAAAAAACAATTTAACTGTTTTTTTAATTTTTAAATAAACTACTACTAATTGGATAAGAACTGTCTGATGAACTCATTTTTGTTACACTAAACACAATATTGCAAATTACCCGAGTACAACAATGGCGGAGAATTTTAGGTGCGTGAGAGCAGACGTAGACACTAACGCGCATGCGCACTTGTACCCAGGGAGCAAAAGTTACACTTTCTTCCCTGTACAGCGGGACGAAAACCAAACTTTCGGCGTAGGTAGGAAAAAAAGACTCTCCTGTAAAATTTAGTAAGTTTTGACATTATAGTTTTTTATGCGAGAAGACGATTTGTCACTCGTAGCATATAGAAAGCTACTTTGGAATATTTACAAAGTGATTTAGTTTGATGAGTATTATTTAGTTTTATAGTGTAAGTTTATGTACACATTATGTTAGGTGTTGCGTTACTTTTGTTTTTGTTTTTTATGTAAACTTAAATTTCTAAATTTCTCTTTTTTTTCTTTCTTCACTTTCTACCTACTTGTGATTTTCATGATGGAAACTTGTTTAGTTATTGTGTTAGTTTTTTTTTTATATTTTATGTTTGTTTTGTACTGTTAGTTTCCCAAATAAATTCTATACAATTGAGAAGTCGACCTCGAGTTTCAAGTGGCGATATTGACATTGTATGGATTCCATAATTTAACTCCAAGTGGGCCATTGGAAAATCGACCTTAATAATACTGATACTCTTCAACTTCCACCGAATATTGCATAAGGGCTGCCCCCCTCCACACCCGGGACAGCATTTGACTTCTATTGCACGACACAAGGAATAATTCCTTCACCGTGGAAGTCAATCGTGAACATAATATTAAGTACGTATTTCATTAGAACAGTTGGTGCTTGTCTGCTGGGTTCGAACCCTGGGAAGGTCGTTATCCCTGAGTTCCGTGAGCCTGTCTGCCGAGCTACACGATACCGTACCTTTTGAGATGCAAGACCAGCACTTGAGGGAACTTCTGGACCGTGAACCATTTGAGGCACTTCCGTCTCACGCCGCACTTCGAGCATGTCTGGAATGTAACAAGAGTATGTATGTGTGGTCCATGGACCGATTGCTTTACGGAAACAACTTAAAAAAACAACAACAAAATCACACGCATTCAATATTCAAATCTTCGCGTGATGTCATTCGTGGTTAAATCATAATCTAAGCCAGTGCTTCCAAACCTTTTTGAGACATTTGTAACATTTCTAAAAAATTTATGCCCCCAAATACATAATTTTTAACATGAAAAAATTGATTTGTTCAATTGGTTTTAGGAAGAAATCACTACGAAATTGTTATCAAAACACGGTAAATAATATTTCAAGACATTAAATAAGAAACTGAAATTTAAATTCAAAATAATTTTAATACAGATTTTCTTTATTAATTTAGTGCGATTGGCCCCCTTAATTGTCAAATTGCCTTATTGCGGGGTGTGGGTCCCACGTTGGGAAGCACCGATCTAAGCCAACTATTGTACATCCCACGCTTTGCAAATTGTTATACCGGTATGAACGACGCCATCTATCATCAAATAGCGGAAGCGAATATCAAAACGACTAGTACTATAGGGAACGTTCATAGTAAATTGTAGACTTGTCGTGTAAACTGTTAAAACGTTGCAGAGACGTGAAGGCTATTAGCGATCAGTTCTACTCGAAGCGAATTGTGATATTGATATATTGTTTAGCCGATATGAACAACGCCATCTGTCATCAAATAGCTGAAACGGACATCAAAACGACTGGTACTACCGGAACCTTTCGAAAAGTGTAACGCCTGTACTATCCTAGATATGTCGTATGCCAGATATAAGAGGATATCTCTTGTTCCTGGTCTTTTTTTTTTAAATCGGCACATTAAGCTGTTTTCAGACTACTGTTTTCAGACAGTATTAGTTAAATGTGGACTGACCGGTTTCTCGTCACCGTCCAGCTCTTCCTCGCGCACGAAGTGCTGTAGGCACTGCTGCAGCTTCAGGTTGCCGGTCCGGGCCGGAATCGGCAGGCTGCGGACACCAACAGTACCCTCACAGTTACACATACACACGCAAGGTTACAAGACAAGAACCAGAGTTATATGAGGGCGCTCCACGAGGTCATCGACCCGGCAATTGAAATTTGGTAATACATTGCTGTGAGATATCAAACCAATTCCTAAGCGCATTTGACACCTGTCATTCTAAAATGTAGCTGTCTCGCTCTTTACTCAACTTCCTTCTTGTCTTTTTTAGTATTAAATAATACTTATTAATTAATTAAGTGTTTTAATCCATACAACACAAATAATAATAAAGACAAACAATATTAATCTATTCTCAAATTGATCACAGACTTTAAGCAATGACAAAAGTTTGACAATAAACGAAGAGCATTTAAGCGTGTTTGTGTCTGTCAAATACACGGTAGTTGTGTCATGTTTTTATTTATTTCCTTAATGTATTTTTTATGCATAATTTAACAAAATATTAACATCCTGCACTCCTTATCTATATTATTTATAAGTGTGGGAAATTAGATATTCCTCCGTCCGCGCGATTTTCGTAAAAAGGGGTACAAAGTTTTTGCTTCACGTATTTAATATCTAGATATATGAAAATAGCGTTTACAATTTTCTCGAATAGCGGCGCTCACCTCAGGTCCCAGAAGGGATCGAAGGTGACGCTGTCGTGGTTGCAGTGGGTGCAGCGTAGGGTCGACTTCAGCTGCCCCACGAAGATGTCGCCCACGCGGCTGTCCTCCATCCTCAGGTAGCGGCTCCAGGCTTCGGCTGCCTTCGCTGAATCGCTGGAGGACATCCAATTAACCGGTTAGTCCCCGCAGATAAACGACGCGCGCGCCACCTGTCGGCGGATGTCTAGACGCTCCAGTAACCACCTAACACCAGATGGGCTGTGAGCTCGTCCACCATCAAAATAAAAAAAAAAAATACTATCACCCCGGGCACGTCTGCTTTGAGACAGCGTGATACTACAATATAGACATGCTTATCTACCCTACTGATCACATACTAAAGAGCATTGCTTTGATTGAACATCAAACCACTCGCCTTGAAATACGTCACAAATAAATAATAGTTTAAAAAAACTAACAAAATACGCTTTCATAGAAAATCCAACTAAAAAAATAGAAAATAAATTTTAATAAATTTGAATTAAAAATAGTGTAAGATAAGTGATTTCATTGTAAAAAAAAGCGTGGGGTGCATGGTATCAGTAGTTATAAATATTTTATGAACAGATATGAGTGGAAGGGTTATTTTGAAAATATCCTGAAAAGCACGCCATGCTTTTTTACAATAAAATCACTTTTCTTACACTATTTTTAGTTAACTATTATTACTATTATTAACTATTATTTATGTTTTAGTTGAATTTCTTAACTATTTTTTATTTTTTAGTTGAATTTCAATTTTTTCAATACTCATTTAATATTGAATTATCATCGGTCCTTAATAAGTATACCAAATTTCTAATTAATCCGACGTTTTGAAGGGGGTCAAAATCATGTTCAAAGATTCCGTTACAAACATATTTACATACGTCTGAAGCTAATAAAAACGTATTAAAATCTCAATTGTATTAACGCCCCACCGAATCCACTGAGTTCCAGGTCGTAACTTCTCAGTGGGTCGCGCTTCCGATCCGGTGGTTGAATTAGCGAAGCACTGCTCTTGCTAGGGCCAGTATTAGCAACACTCCCGGTTTGAGCCCCGTGAGCTCACCTACACGCTAGGGTAACGCTGATATAGCCTCTTAGGCTACCATCGAACTGAAAGGCGCTATTGCTCCACGGCAACACTGGCCAGGCGGTGGTACCAATCATAAAACACCCCCGCGCCCTCTAGAGGTGAAGTAAACGAGCCACTAACCTTAGATTGTCGTCGATCTCCGTCAATATAGGCTTCGGTTTGACTGTGACCCTGTTCACGTCCTCGTGGAGCCCTTCCAGTAGATAACGAAGAAACTCCTGAAAATCAGAATTTAAAAAAAAATCTTTGTAACGATCGACTCTTTTAAACATATTTCTTCCTACTGACACTTATCAATCAAGATAATTTAGTACCAACTTTTAGGTAGTTTTAGGTAAATAATTTGGTACCACTATTGTGGTGATTTTAGGGAATTCATTTGGTACCAACATTTCGGTAAGTGTAGGTAAATAAAGATATGTAAAACTCCTCGTGCTCAGTTTAATTTCAATGAATTTCGAACACTTTTGGGAACCGAAGAGGTAACGCTACAAACAGCAACTATCACCATCTAGTGGGGAATAGGTACAACTTGAGAGAGTTTGCTGACCCTAGCCAGAGCAGTGCTTCGCTGAATCTACCACCGGATCAGAACCGCGATCCGCTGAGAAGATTCGGCGAGAAACTCAGTAGACTAACACCACATTACCAATGACAGTTCGAAAAGTATGTTCAATTTAAAAGGAATTTGACTCCTGGAAAATCTATATTACATATTATTGTACAAAGTGGAAGTTCCCACCTGCGCGTCCTGCTGGCTATAGCCCATGAAGCGCGGCGCGAACTTCTGAACCTGGGACTTCAGGGCGGTGGTGTTCACGACCCCGTCCCTCTCACCACTGCGCCACACCTCCTTGATGACCGTCGCGAAGGCTGCGAGACACAATTTTTTTTTTCATACCTAAGCTGATGATAGCCTTGAGAGGCTATTTCAGCGTAACCTTAACTAGTAGGTGAGCTCACGGGGCTCAAACCTGACGTTGTTGTTAACACTGGATCGGAAATGTGACCCGCTAAGAAGATCCGGCGAGAAACTCAGTGGGCTGTGTCTGTGGGTTAGTTCGCTCGTCGAGCCCTTAGTCGCAAGCGACGGGTTCGACGAGAACGATGACCGGTGCTTGGGGAATCTAAAAGCATCGTTAGTGGATCGGGAGGATCCATAATGACGTGCAGTCTGGACGCAAGCTCACCTTTGATAAGGGCCCCCTTCATGCAGGACAGCGAAGTGTTGATGTCATCGCAATACTTGTCTTCGGAGACGTATTCCAGCAGCGGCTTGGTGTTCGACAGGCACTGGAGGACGCTATTCATGAAACACGTGTTGCCGATGTTCCTGAGGCCGTTCAGACCTGGATACGGGGAGAAGGTACCTTGTTAACGGTCCGACTTTTTTTTTGAATTGGTTATATAGGTGGACGAGCTCACAGCCCACCTGGTGTTAAGTTGTTACTGGAACCCATAGACACCTACAACGTAAATGCCGCCACCCACCTTGAGATATGAGTTCTAAGGTCTCAGTATAGTTACAACGGCTGCCCCGCACTTCAAACCGAAACGCATTACTGCTTCACGGCGGAAACCGGCAGGGTAGTGGTATCTAACAGTGCGGACTCCAAGACGTCCTACCACCAGTAAGAAACTTATAAAACTCCTCTATCATATACCATTTCTTCGCTCACTCCCCTCTTACACATATCCTCTTTCACGTGGTTAAAACGAAAGCAATGTAGACTAATAAAATCTCATAGTTACCACTGGTGTGACTTGACTGCCGCTCATTCCTGGATTCGGAGAGTGATTCCGATCGATCGGTGCTCCGGCGCAGGCCGCTAGGACCGCTTTTGCCTCCGGCCAATTCCTGAAAATTCACATTCAGGCGAATCTATTATAAAACAGTTTTCAAACTACCCGCATGACACGTTTCTCGTTCATAACGCGACAGCCCCAAATGATGATGCGACATTGAAAATAAAATCATTGAAAACGCATCGCCATCCAGTCACTTTCAAATCGTTGCGAGTTACGACGCCGAGCATGAAAAACCATGCAAATAATTTAAAAAAAAACAAACAATTTTACCTGTAATTCTCTTGGGCTTTACAATCGACGGCGTAATAAATTAATTGATAAATTCTCATTAAGAAAATTGAAATCAACTATAATGAGTTTCTCATAAGATAGCCAGAGAATCCTCGTACGTAATTTAAGGAAAACGGATTCTGAGTCATTCAGATGACCTGCGACACCGATGGCGTTACGTCGCGAACGTGCAAGTGAGACGGCGCGATGCCCCCTTCCCTTACATTAGCGCTCCAACAGAAAAACGCTTTTCGCTACGTATCGTCTGTTTGAAAGCTACCATTAATCGTGCTTTACCCGACGCTTTTACGAGTACTATTCGTATAACCAATTGCAACTTGTATTATTTTCGCTACTTATACACTGGTAGCCTAAGAGGCTATTCCAGCTACGCCCTGAGCAGGTAAGTGAGCTGACGGGCTCAACCTGCGAGAATTTGCCAACGATCAGCCCTAGCAAGAGCAGTGCTTCGCTGAATCTACCACCAGAGCGGAATCGCGACCTACTAAGAAGATCCGGCGAGAAACTCTATGGGTTACTTCGCTCTTCTAGGATTGAAACTTGTGTCAACATGAATCTAATAGACGAAATCAACAATAGCTCTGAATTACGATGTGTAAAGTGAAGAGTTCGAATCGAATTAAGCTTGTAGTAAAAATAAATCAATCCGCATAAACACTCGTAGTAATACAAATAGTTTAATGCTCACTGGCCTTGGCGTAAAGTTGAAAACCGAAAATCACATTTGAAGGTGCGCCTGTAGTGAAATTAAATTGAACGATTTTGCCTTTATACAATTTTACAAACCACGTAGTTAGGAAACTAATGAACTTGTATACAGAAGGGCTTGGATCGTGGCCCCCAATCGCTCTCAGTTTGCGCACTCAAACGTTGAGGGCAGACCCGACTGTATAATTACAATTAATTTGATTTTAATTTTTTGACAACCCTCGCTAATTTGCGCCTTAAGTACCTATACGAGCGGCGATTAGACATCAAAGGCGTTTCTCAACTACATCGATTGTAAAACTGTAGCTGTGTGATCTAGACAAGCATCACCCCATTCCTGCCCGTGGATGTCGTGAGGCGATTAATGTAGCCATGGGAGAACGACAGCAGCATTCCCAGAGTATTACACCCGGGTACTGCCATTGCCAACGGCATGTAATAGTGGCAGTGCCGTAATAAGAACCCACACTAGTGGTTATCACTATCCTCATTGTTTTATTTGCCAAACGGACCTGCGTTCCGGTTTAAAATATGGATAGCCGTTGTGGAATATAGATTGAGACATCGACCTCGTGTCTCAAGATGGGCAACGGCATTAGTGTTTGAGATATCAATAGGTTAAAAACGTATGTATAACATTATTGCATTTTTTGTCTTTTTCATTAAGTATTTTATTTTTACATACTCAGGTTTGAGCCCCGTGAGCTCACCTATTCGTTAGGTAACGCTGGCATAGCCCTTTAAGGCTACTAGCATAAGTAGGAAAAAAATACATACTACAATGCACGGGCGCCATACAAAATCGCTCAGACAAGATTCACATTCCGTATATTGTACTAGGCCCGTTTGATTAATGCGAGTTTTTTAACTTCTCGATCGCGTAAAAGTTCTTCGTTTGTGTTTGTCCTTCGTTTGCCGCTAGAGGCGCTGTTCCAACTCCATACAAATTTGAGTTAACTTTTACGCGATCGAGAAGTAAAAAACTCGCACTGATCATACTGATGACGCGTCAGATACTAGCACTATTTCATTATATCAAGTCTACCACACTTGTTACCACCATCGGGGAATAAAAAATCGTAAAGCAAACACAGGTGGACGTCTTTCAACATCGAATCCAATAAAAACCCACACGAAATAAGCCCGCTATATTAAAAAAAAAACAAGAACACCAAACAACATGCCAATACCACAACCACAGCGTGGTGGTACCATTCGCGTCAACGTCAGCGCGGCCAGCCGGACCGCGTAGTGACTGTGCTCGCGTCCCGCCACGACAACGCGTCGCGACACGACAACGTTACCGACTTTCTGTAGCGCGTTTTTGTCGCCACCACAATTTGAGAATCGCTGGTCTACCGGTGAACGTGAAAATTGAGTTAACACAATTTTATATGTAGTTTAAAAGATAAAAAGATACAATTTAATTAATAATAATTTCTCCTGTTCGGGACATTAGAGTGAAGTTATAAAATTCTCATCGGAGTTTTAAATCGGACGTTATAAAATCGAAAAGAATGACGTTCAGATATTATGGTACATACAAACAAACCAACATACCAAGCTAATAAAGACCTACCTAAATAGCCAATGAAAATCGTAATTACGGAGACAATAAGGCTCAGTTTAGGATAACACTAACCTCTCTTATTACACATCTATAGTAGTATTTACGACATTATTTACAATCTACTCGTAATTCTCTTTTCCTACTGCACCCATCCTTAGTAAGTAGTAATTACAGAGTTTCACTTTGAAGGATCCCATCAAGACTTCCACCTTGCACCTGAAGTGGGTCGGTGGTATTAATATGGGGCTATCCATAGGCTTCGGGATATCCTCATCTAACCATCAAACAAACAAGCAATTAAAAGCTATATTATTGATTTGAGCTGCCTCAGTCTTGTGATTCAACAGTGCGCACCGGGCGTCTTACTCATTCAATAAAGGACGCTTACTGTTTTTTTTTACCGACTTCAAAGACGAGGCGGTGGTGTTTTTCTTGTCGTTTAACTGTCATCTGAGATCTGATTAGCAGTTTTTGGATTATCCTTAGAAATACTAAAATATTAAGTTTATTAACCTGATATCTGCCATACGTTCTTCCTGCTGGCCTGGCAGGCAGCGGCAGGCGGGGCCGGGGGTCGTAGCAGTACCGGCAGCCACACTTCATTGCTCATAACAACCAGGATGCCGGTAGTAACGCATGCCACTATCATAAACACTTCGTAGTAAGTGAGCATGGAACGATTTCAGAACGTATCGTTTGAAAATAACGTTTTTAAATTGTGAACGCTTCGTTTCCGAACGCAACTCTGACTGACAGTTCGACAGATGCAACTCAATTTTTTTTTAAATATTAATAATGTTCAAAATAAAATTTAAATTCACTTCATTGAAACTGTTGTCTCTCTCAGTCACATCACATAGAATAAGTTTCCACTTTTAATTAATTAAACTTGAAAATTATCAAAACACTTTCAATTTTCCACAGTCGCACATTCACTAACGATTTTGATTGGCGCAAACTAAATTCCATACATACCCGAAATAACACTGGCCATTTTGCGATTGCAACGCAACGAAACGAAAAAAAAAAAGACGCTGGTCTAAATTTTGACAGTTAAATAGGCGCGCAAAATGGCGGACACCTGACCGACTAGGTCACATCGGCGGGAAATAACATTTCCACCATTACATTGTCCGTCTCGAAGACTTTTATTTATCGCAAACGAGAGCTCATAGCGAACCGAGTCGAAAACCTAGGCCGGTGATGACTGCCAAATTACACAATACTTCTCTACCAATGACACGGTCCGGATAACTGCTTGCTAGTGATGGGAACGCGTGCCGTATTAAATTTAAATTACATCGTTTAGACTCGATTTTTTTATCAATTTCAGGGGGCTACTTGTAACCTTCGCGTGGTAAGAGAAGACCTGATCGCTCTGTACACAGTTGGCGACGAACTGTGGCAGCGAAATGAGGACTACCGGCCTGACCTGGAGTGATGTCAAGGAGCAAGGGCAAGATGTCGTCGTGGCCTAAAGGATAAGACGTCCGTTGCATTCGTGTTGAGCGATGCAACGGTGTTCGAATCCCGCAGGTGTGTACCAATTTTTCTACTGAAATACGTACTTAACAAATGTTCACGATTGACTTCCACGGTGAAGGAATAACATCGTGTAATAAATAAATAAAACCCGCAAAATTATAATTTGCGTAATTACTGGTGGTAGGAACGCACGGGTAGGTACCGCCACCCTGCCTATTTCTGCCGTGAAGCAGTAATGCGTTTCGGTTTGAAGGGTGGGGTAGCCGTTGCAACTATACTGAGACCTTAAAACCCATATTTCAAGGTAGGTGGGTGGCGGCATTTATGTTGTAGATGTCTATGGGCTCCGGTAACCATTTTACACCAGGTGGGCTGTGAGCTCGTCCACCCATCTATGCAATAAAAAACAAAAAAGGCATAGTGAAGTGGAGATAACTTGTCAGAGCCCTAGGTACCAGCGAGGTGCCCTAGGACTTCTACTACGCGTGACTTTCAAAGGGGGGCCGGCAAGAACTGGGTGAGGACAGCCCGTGGCCTAGGCTCAGTGGTGTAAATCGGGGGAGTTCTACATCCAGCATCATGAAGATGATGAGGTGTGCACGTTTTAAATGAGAACCCAAACTCAATAACAACACTACCATTGTCGATGTCACCCTAAACACGTCATTACGGATCCTTCCGATCCATTAACGGTGCTTTTAGGTACCACCGGCACCGCTCACCGTCCTCGTCGAACCCGTCGCTTGCGACGAAGGGCTCGGCGAGTAAACTAGCCCACAGACACAGCCCACTGAGTTTCCCGCCGGATCTTCTCAGTGGCTCGCGTTTCCGATCCTTGGCTTATAAAAATCTCGTCATCGTGTTGTGTAGAAGTACCGTGTTATATGAGGATTTTGGCGAATTTTCTTTTTATGTTATAGGTGAAAATACCGCGTTATAGATTATAAAATATCTGTTGTATTTTTCTATTTGCATAATTATCTAATAACCTTTTG